TAGTTTTTCTGGGTATATTAGTCTAGCTTCAATGCTGTGGTCCTTCAGAATTTGAAATACATATAATTCCAAGCTCCACTACCTTTAAAGTTTTTGTTAAATAATTGCCTGTTGCTTTAATTTACCTGTTTTCATATGGTACTTGGTGTTTCACACAGGCATCTCTCAAGACAATTTTTTTCTATATACTTAATGTTTCAATTTTGATACACCATGAGGTATTTGTTCCTGATCTTGCCTATTTTGCATTCTGTTAGCATTTGAACCTGACTGGATCTCCCTTTTTTATTGATTTCGGATGTTTTTTTTTTTATGATTTTATTGAAAATATATTCTTTGTCTTTGATAGGTGTTCTACCTTCTATGCAATATTTTAAAATGATATTTCAGAGATCTTACAGGAGCCCTTCATGTTTTCTTATAAAAATCTATCATTGTCTTTAACTAAATGTGTAATTCTTCCGATTTATTTTTCACCAATTGATATGTCTCCTTTATTTTCTATTATATTAGTGAAGCTTTCCTTTGAACTTTTTTTGTTGTTCTTTAAAAAAAATTCTTTACATCCCAAGGGAATCTCCTCCCTCCTCTCCTCCAAGTCTTTTCCCATTCCCTCCTTCTTCTCTCCCTTCCCATCCTGAGAAGGGGAGCACTCCTCCCTCCCTTATCAACCTCTCCAGAATATCAAGTCACATCAGGACTGAGCATGTCCTCATCCACCAGGCAAGGTAGCCTTGCCAGGGAGAAGTGATCAAAATCAGGCAACTGAGTCCATGTTGGAAACAGCTCCCCCTCCACTTGCCAGGCACCCCACATGAAGACAAAGCCACCCATTGGCCACCTATGTCCAGGGGCCCTAAGTTGAGACCATGCATTTTCCTTAGTTGATTTCTCAGTCTCTGTAAACCCCATGGGTCTGTGTTAGTTGTCTCTGTTGGTGTTCTTTGAGGTTTGTGTTCCATCCAGGTCCTTCCAGCTTTCCTCCACAGGACCCCCAAAGCTCTTCTTTGAGCTTTTTTTATGTGATTGAGTTACTTTTAATTCTTTGACTAGAATTTCATAAACACCCTTTTCATTTGGGTGTCATTATTCTGGTATTGGTAATTCTGCAAGATGTGCTGGGGCAATGAACTTGTGGGAGTCCGGTTCAACTGGAGGCCCATGCCACAAGAGGGAGCCCATGTGCTAGTCTGCCTGGATGCCCAGTAATTGGAGCCTGGATGCCTAGATACCTGGGGTAGAATACAAACACTACTGTCCTGACCCCACCCCACCCCGAAAATCAATGAAATGATTCCTAATGATAATCTGCTACACTCATAAATCAGTGCTTTGTCCAGCCATTATCAGAAAGGTTTCCTCCAAAAGCACATGGGTGTGGGTGCAGAGAAGCACAGCCAGACATATGTGGGAAGAGAGTTTAAATTAGAGATCTCCGTTTAGTTCCTCTCCTTGGAGATTGGTGAACTCTGAAGAAGAGAGAAAAGAAAGATTGTAGGAGTGAGAGAGGATGGCGGACACCATGAGAATCAAATCAGATAAGCCCACAAAATCAAGGAAGCAGGGTTCACAGAGACTGAAGTGGCAAACATGGGGCCAGCATGGGTCTCACCAAGCCCACTGCATATATGTTATAGCTTTCAGCTTGATGTTTTTTTGTGGGACTCCTAACAGTGGGAGCAGGGGTATCTCTGACTCTTTTGCCTGCTCTTGGAACCCTTTTCTTCACACTTGGTCGCCTTTTCCAGACTCGATATGAGGGCTTTTGTCTGACAGTATCTTGCTTTGTTCTGTTTGGCTGTGTCTTCTGCAGGCCAGATTTTTTTTTCCTGAAAAGAAAATGGAAGGGGTGAATCTAAAGCAGAAGAGGGGGAGCTGGGAGGTGTGGAGAGAGGGAAAACAGTGGTCAGAATGCATTATATGACAGAAGAATCCATTTTCAATAAAAAATAAACAAGAATAAAAGTCTTGCCAAACAATAAGGAAAAAAGTGTTCTTTCTTTTTATATGTTTATAGTAACTTTATTTCTTTTTTAAAAATTCATTATTAATTACACTTTATTCACTTTGTATCCCCCCTGTGGTTCCCTCCCTCCTCCTGTCCCAATACCTCCCTTCCTCCACTCTCTGCATGCATGCCTCTCCCCAAGGTCACTGACAGGGGAGGTCTTCTTTTCCTTCCTTCTGATCCTAATCAATTAGGTCTCATCAGGAGTGGCTGCATTGTCTTCTTCTGTAGCCTGGTAATGCTGCTTCCTCCTCAGGGGGAGGTAGTTAAAGAGCAGGCCAATCAGTCCCTGTTCCTCTTACAATGGAACCCACTTGGATATTGAACTGCCATGAGCTACGTCTGTGCAAGGGTCTTAGGTTATCTCCATGCATGCATGGTCCTTGGTTGGAGTATCAGTCTCAGGGAAGACCCCTGTGCTCGGACTTTTTGGTTCTGTTGCTCTCCTTGTGGAATTCCTGGGTGGTATAAGAAAGCAGGCCAGGCAGTGAGCAGAATTCTCACATGGTTTCTCCTTCAGTCCTTGCCACTATTTCTGCACTGTTTTAGTTCTCCTGGCTTCACTTAGTGATTGTGATGTGGAATTGTAAGATGAAACAAACCTTTCTTTTTCAAGTTGCTTTTGGCCATGGTGTTTTATCACAGCAATAGACACCCTAACAAAAGCATTCAATTAATATGAATGAAAAATGGAACTGTTAAAAGAACTGTCTATAAACAATGGATTTTTTAAAAAGCTAAACACAAAGTACTACAAAGTATTTAAAAAATTAAACTCAAAGAAAAAACATCAATTTAAAAGTGTGTTATAGAACTGAAAAATGTAGTTAACAAAAGAAGAAATATAATTGGTTAAGAAATACTCTTTTAGAATGTTCAATATCCACAGCTACCAACAAAATGCAAATTAAAGCAATTTTGAAATTTAATCTTAATTCAGTCAAGGAGAACATACTGGTATAGATATGGAGAAAATAGAACACTTATTCACTATTGGTACAAGTGGAAATTGGGACAGATAGAAATGAAATAGTTTTGGAGGCTCCTCATGAAGCTGGCAATATGTCTACTATATATGCAGCTATATACTAGGAGTATACCTTCCTATCGAGATTCTTTCTCATCCGTTTACATGACTGCTCTACTCACAATTTCAAGGAAGTGAAAACACCTAGACTCCACCAAAGAATGAAAGGATAAGGTAAATTAGGTCCATTTACACAATACAATTTTATTCAGACGTAACACAAATAAAATTCTGAAATTAGCAATTCATACTAAAATTCCACTGCTATTAGTAAATAGTTAGGGCTGGAAATAATTATTCTGAATAAGGCACCTCAAAAAAGAAAGATGAATATTACATGTTTTCTTCTATATGTGGATCCTAGCTTTGAATCATTAGATATTCATTTAAATTAGAGCATGTGTAGAGGTCATAAAATGGCCCCGGAGGGGTAGATTTTAAGGGAGAGTCGTAGAGCACTGGTTGGGTGAAAGCAGAATGGGAATAAGGAAGGAAGAAGGGTTAAGTAATGTAGGGATGGGAGAGCAGAGTAGAGGAGACAGTGATGGGAGAAATAACCATCTCTGCAGTCTTATGAAAAAGTCAAGTGGAAACCTACTACTGTAAAAGCTTCCATATCTGTAAAAGCTTCAGATATATATATCTGAAGATAAAGGAAGCTTAAATGGAGTTACCCCCAAAGTGTGGAGAGTGCCCTTCCTAGATACCATAGAATAAAGATGATATATTCCTAGACTATCAAGCAAAAAGCCAGGTGTTGTGTTGGTTTGTTCCTTCAAATCAAAATTTTGGTCTTTGGCGTATCACACCGCCCCCAAAGTACTTGTCTTTCTCTTTCTCAAAGTTATTGTCTTTCTCTTGGGTACCCTTCCTAACTTGATGGTAAGATATTGTTGCTGCAGATACCATGGAGTTGACTCACAGGACATGAAGAAACAAATCTGGTAGTGACCTGGAAGCTTTATCACTGCTAGTTAGCTTCTATAGTGCTGGAAGGTGCTGTGCACGTTAATGAGGGATAGAAATAATCAGAAGTCGCATTTAGTGGTAAACTCTGTCAGCTACAATAGTGACCAGCCTGGTAAGATATGTTTATTGTTATAATACAGCCACAACTACGCTTGGAGTTACAACCACTTTTGGATAGTATTTAAGGATGACTCCACAAGATGCAATTTATACCTGGTACTGTTACCTGTGCCAAAATCTCGGCTGGCTAGGTCATAAGTCCTCAAGGAGAGCCTACCTCTATCTGCTAAATGGATACACTCCTAAACTACCCCCTAAATATTTAGATTTATTTCTATGGCCTAGTGGAGTTCTCAAACCTTATCAGAAAGCTTCTTTTTTGCAGTAGATGGCAATTCGTGCAAGCTCACAATTGGTCAAAGTGCAAGTATAACAGACTGGATTGTTCATGTCTAAATCAGAAGTCTGTATCAAATGTTTTTCCCTAAGGCTCAGGGATCATCATGGAAAGAGGTAGGGGGTAGAAAGATTAAAAGACTCACAGGTAAGGGAGGACTGCTGTGAAAGTTTTTGTTTGTTTCTTTTTGTTTTTTTAAATTTCAGGGATTTATACACATGATTTCATAGTAGACGTAGCTGCACATAGCCCATCCAAGTTTAAAGCCATCTAAAATTTCAGCATGGATCAGATGGTTCTTCTAGACTCCTACACCTAGCTGAGGAACTATTGTCAGTAATTGCTGCTAGAGGAGGGAGAGTCAGTTTTCACTGTGTTCTGCTTCTGAACCATGCCATCTTGTACTACATCAGCACTGCACATGCCAATAGTACTAAGTGGACTCAGTGGGCTTAAAGAAGAGTTAGGATGAAAGAGTGGCTGAGGAGGAGTTGGAGGGGAGAACTTAGGGTCAGATTTTATTAAATCACACTCCTGTGTGATACTTCAGAGAGTTCTCTCTCAATTGCATTCCAGCCTTCGCTTCTATTTTTCTCCACTCAGTCGTCCATTCTGTCCCAGTACTTCAGGAAAACACCTGCGAACCCAGCATGCTTTCTAGACTCAAGGGTGCATACTCCATCCTCGAAAGTGAAAGAATGGCCTGGCACTCCCTTTTGGGTTCCTCTGGGGTCTCACCTTTATGTACTCACCTCCCATGTAGCACAGAGATCTACTGTCTCAAAGAATATTTTTCCATTTCCATCTTTTGTAAGTATTGCCTCTGATGGCTGTAATAAAAGCAGTTGTTATAGAAATCTCAGCCAATACATGCATCCCACCCATTGCGATAGCCTCAGAAATCTATTGGAAATGGGAAAGGAAACAACCACAAAATAAGTGAAGCACAGCACCATTTATCATTTATATAGACAAAGTTAATTAGGTTACATGATGCAAATGGCATACCTTAATTGACATTGGGTAATGAATAAGAAAGAGGCCAACATAATCTAGTTGAAGGTTTTTCAGTGATCTCTCTAAGCCAATGTCAACCAATTCTGGTTGGTGGAATGTACACCAAAGCTATAGGGGTAAAGAATGTGTAAATTATCTTAATAATAATCAGAGCTGAGAAGTTTTGTAATGCGTACAAGATAGTAACTACAGGGCATACTGTGTATTTCAGTTGGGATATTTGATTTGATCTATATATGTGAACTTCAGAATATTACTGGTTACTAATAGTCAATCCAATTAATATGGGAAAGATACCACTAAAGGGGTAAATTTCATGGTCATGATGTTCAAATCATATGTTACAAAGATATATTTCTATAAATACCCCATCTCTCAATTTTGTGGAAATGTTAGCATTTGTTTATTAATATAAATTATATGAAATGTGCTATGGATACTTAATGATCATTGGACACAAATTTTCACTAATTGGATGAATATTATTTAACGTTTAATGAACTCTGATACTCTGTTATTTTCAGTAGAAAATAAAAATATCACTATTTTAAATGTTCAAGATGTTCTAAGCTACCCAAGGTTTAAGGAAAACTCAAAACTGATGAAGGTCATTTCTGAGTTTACAGATTAAACTGAATTATCCTTCATTTTCCTGAGATAATAAAAGAAAAGGATTTGAAAGCCATACACTTGTGGAGAGTAAGAAGCCTATATTTTTCTGTGATTTAAACTAAGCCTTATATGTGAAATATCTGTGAAAAAAATGTTATGCCAATAATCACATTTCAGTAGGTAGTAAGCCAATAATATAATTTAAATTTTACATAATATTTTATTAATCCATACATTAGCTTGTTATGCACACAATACCTTTGTAGTAAGAAATATGTCTTCTCTCCTCACAACACCATCTGCAATCTTGCTTCGAATAGCCTGTCCTATCTCCTTTTCATTTTGGTACACATAAGCAGAATCAATATGGCGGAACCCAGTATATATTGCTATTTTAGTAGACTCCAAAGTCTTACTCAGAGGAACCTAGAGGAGGAAACAAGGGTATGATTTGGAGATAGATGTCCCAAAAGGTAAAAAATTGAAAACCAACTTCAAGCCTTTTAGTTAATTGATCAGGGATTGGTTCCTAGAATGGGATTTTGCACTTTTCTTTTTCATTAGGCTTTGAAGAACTTCTGGTGAGCAACAGTGAAATACGTAGGCAGAAGCAATTACTTTCAAAATACCTGTTGTGGGGTAGTCATCAGAGAATATTGCTCAGACACAGGCTTAAGTCAAGGGAAAGTATTAGCCAGCCAATGACTACAGTGGATGTTCAGGATCCTAGTATAGCACTGAACCTTCTTTAGGGTGAGCTTTTAAGCAAAAAATACAAAAAAAAAAAAAGAAATAAAACAAAACAACAACAACAACAACAACAAAAACCCAACCAACCAAACAAACAAAAAAAAACAACATATTCTTAGTTGATGTCCTTCAGTTAACAAGAACAGTTTGCCAGAAGCAGAACTATAGAAGTACAGAAGCCAAAAAGCAAGGTCAGTTCACTTAGAGTCTTTTCAATAGCAATGAACTTTGAGGGATTAGGCCTTTGTTTTAGTTTTGACAGGTGGTGCTGTGTTCAGTTTTATAACCTAAATAGCTCTTGCATCAAGGAATCAGTTGAGGCCCTGTGATATTCCCCACTGGTCTTAGTGAGACAGTCAAGTCATGGACTCATCCTGTTTTGCTTAAAGATGCAGGGCTCCACTGTTCATACAGTCAGCCCAGCCAGTGCTGATAATAAAGTGGTTATCAAGGGGGACCAAGAGAACAGAGACTGTTACCAATTATTTGCCAATCAAGGGAAGATTTTTTTAAATTATTTTTGACCAATTACCATGGAAATATTTGTTTGTTTTCAAAGCTAGACATAGTGCACTTTATCTCATGAGAAGTAAATCCAAGTGTCTGGATTTGTAGGGTCATTTCTGTAAGGGAAGCTAATTGTTGTAGGTCCTGTAGGTCCTGATCAACCTGTCTGCTTAGTTTTTAAGCATCAGAAGAGGCATATTTAATCAAACCCTTAGTACAGGCCCACTAAGTACTCTTCCTCCATTTGTGTTTTCTTTAATTTTTCCAGTTCTATCTTCAGATCTTGAGCCGTTTTATTGATTTCCTTCACCTGGGTGACTGTATTTTCCTGTTTTTCTTTCAATTCCTTCAGCTGTTTGTTTGAACAATCCTCTGTTTCTTTTATTTCTTTCAGTGATTTAAGTATGTCCTCTCTAAAGGCCACAAACTGTTTGGCTGCAACTTCCTGTCTTTCTTTACGGATGGCCATAATCTGTTTTTCTTTATCTTCTTCTATTTCTTTATGGATGGTCACAATCTGTTTTTATCTTCCTCTAATCTTTACGGATGGCCACAATCTGTTTGACTTTATCTTTCTCTAAGTCTTTACGCATTTTATTTGTTTCCTGTTATCCTCTTCATGAGCATAGATGTTAGATCATCTTCTTGAATTTCAATTACGTTGGAGTGTCCAAGGCTACTTGTCCCTGGATAACTGGGTTCTGGAGATGCCATATTGCTTTGTCTTTTGTTGGTTGTGCTTTTACTCTGGCCCCTACCCATTTGGCTATCTTAGGTGTTGGATGTTAGTTTCTGGTGGTTCCTGGAATCCTGTGGTGGACAGAATCCCCTTGGCAGGAAGATGGTTTTTCCTGAAGGAAGCCTCCTCAGCTTTTTGGGTATGGTCACTATATGGTGGTGTTTTTCAGGAGTTGCCACAGCTCAGGTGTGGCAGACCTGAGTAGTAACTGTGGTCCTTGTTAGTCCAGAGGGTTCTCCTCTCATCTGGAGACAGCTTCCCTGCTTCTGGGTTTCTTGCTGTAAATTTAGTGAGCTGCTGCTGTAACCTGGGTGTACGGTGGTTTGGTCAGTTTTGTTAGGGGTAACTGGATGCCCCTTGGAGCAATATCTGGGGGTTGATCTCGGGGATCCCAGGCTTCTGTAGGTCTGAGTGTGGGGCTCTGTGTCCCAGTACTCAAGTGGTAATCTATGGCAAGTGAGTAAAGCTCTCCTGGTAGCAGCAGGCTAGCTGTTGCACAGCAGGTCCCTGGGCTGATCTGCGCGATCTTTTCCAAGGATATACTGGGTGGCCTAAGTTTGTCCCCATTTGCTTCCTTCCCTGTGGGGATTTCTCCCAACAGTGACTCCAAGTCTCTGGTGCCCTGGGGCATACAGTTCTGTCTGTGATGAATAGCTGGTGCATAGCAGATCTCTGGTCAAGTGGTGCAGAGGTTGGTGTCTGCCAGTCTGTGGGACCTTTTCCAGGAATATACTGGATGACCTAATTAGGTCCCAGTTTGCTTCCTTCCCTGTGGGGTTTTCTCCAGACAGGGACTCGCAGTCTATGTTGCCCTGGTGCGCACAGCTCTGTTTGTGACAGAGAGCTGTGCATGAAACAAGTCTCTGTTCTTGCAGCTGAAGCCCAGTTCAGTGATGGCAGCTTGCACCTACCATTCTGCGAGACCTTTTCCAGGCAAAGACTGGGTGATCCAAGGCCAGTCTTGTTTCCTTCCTTCCATGTGGGGTTTTCTCGTGACTGGGACTCCCAGTCTCTGGTGTATTTGTGCCCACTGTTCAGCCTTGGAAGGTAATCTGGACACACAGGCTTGTGGCTCTGGTCTGGCGACCTAGTGCCTGTGCAACCCAGGATCTCTTCCTGGTTCTGGCTGGGTGACTTGAGAGTGGACCTGACTGATTCCCACACCATGGGGGTTTCCTCTCACCTGAGAAACAAGATCGCTGTTGTTTTAGGGCCCAGAGTTCAGTCTCTTGGTCACTGTATGAAAAATGTCTCGCTCTTCAGACGCTGTGTTCTCCTGGTGCTGCCATCTTGTTGAATCCCCCAAGTATTTCTTTATCATAACAGAACTATTTGAATGTAAGCAGATGAGGGAGGCAGGGTGTGATTGTGAAGGTAGGAGAGAGGAGGCTACAGCTGGGATACAAAGTGAATTAATTAATTAATTAATTAATATAAAAAAGTACCAGAAATAATTGTGTAAAAATATAAATGTGTAGTTGTCTTGTCATACACATCAGCATTTATGCTGTCCTTCTGCACACAGAATATTGACCATATTATTGAACCAGAGCAAACCACTGAAATTCTGAAAAACTCATTGTTCTAGTTCCCTATGTGGCATGGGGCAGTTTCAAAAACCTAAATAATGGTAATAAGGATAACAGGGAGTTCACTTGAGACTTCAAAGTTGATGGAATACTTTCATTCAGTCCCTCAATCCTTATTTTTCAAACTTTAGTCTCAATTAGATCTCAAAAAAGGAAGAATTGCCTTTTGGTTTTTTTGTTAGTTTGAGTGACCTTTGATATTTCTGATGCTGCTGGTCTAGGGAGGACTCTTAGGAATTTCTGATCCAGAACAGACGTTAGGTTGAGTTTTAGGTATCTTCAGAATCTCATTTAACAAGCCTAGAATTTCTGCATTTCTCTCCAGGGTAGACCAGTACTCCCCAGTTCTCTTGGATTCTTCAGTTCTTTATGATGGGTCCAAAAACTGTAAACAAAGTCAGGCCTAGATTGTTTTGTGCTATCATCTTCAGCATAGGATTGTGGCTCTGCCAAAGAGTTTCAAAGGTAAAGACATCAAAGAGAACTTTCAGGTGATATGGCTGAGCTGTGAGTAGGATCACTTGCATAGTATTTCTTACCTGTG